ACCGCTAAAGGCCATGTGATGCTACAGAGTAAGTGACGTTTGTTATTAAATATTAAGTGTTATGTGATGCTACAGAGTAAGTGACGTTTGTTATTAAATATTAAGTGTTATGTGATGCTACAGAGTAAGTGACGTTTGTTATTAAATATTATATGTTATGTGATGCTACAGAGTAAGTGACGTTTGTTATTAAATATTAAGTGTTATGTGATGCTACAGAGTAATGGATGTGTGTTATTGAGGTGTATATATATATATATATGTGTTCTGTTTTACTACACAGTTGGGGATATTCATTTCTGAAGAATGGAAATGTAATACTAATCAGTAAGTGTTATGTGTCACTATAGTGCACTTGTTATGTGTCACTATAGAATCAATTATTTTGTTGCGTGTTAACGCATAGTTTAGATTGTGTGTAGCTCCAAAGTTACATACTGTTGTACCAAACTAAAGAATCAGTGACTTATTTCCTATATACTACCACAGAGTGAATTTTATTTGCTGTTTACTACCAGTAAATAAATGGTCATGCATCTTACAGTCAGGTAAAGAAGAAGTTTACTGAGATGTGTAAAACATATTGATAATCGAGAAAACAGGAAGCATTAAGTTTTTTATGTGAGAATATATTACCCTAGTGTGCCTAACATGATGAATAAAATTAACATATTTCATTGAAAGTAATTTTGGTTAACGTTTCGGGCTGCGTTTTTGAAGGTCCAAAGCTGGAGCTGTGATATACCGTGAACACACTCCGTAATATCAGCTGTAAGGACGTTATAACCGTGACAGTTAGTGCTGTTATTCGATTAAAGGCAGCTGTGTAGTAGTTGGCTAGTGCTGCTGACTGTTTGCCCTCCCTCTCGTCAGCGGTTTAAAATCCAATTTTACAAATAACCTTCCGACTTTTGTCTTCATGGGTGCGATGCAACCTTCATAGGATATCAAGAGCGATTAAAATTGTCATTTGTTTCTAATGTGTATTTTGTTTGTTTACGGAATTTCGTGCAAAGCTACTTGACGACTTTATGCTGATAGCTGTCCCTAATTTGGAAGTGATAAACTAGAGGAAAGGTAGCTAGTCAATACTATCCACCGCCAATTCTTGGGCTACTCTTTACCAACGAAAAATCGGATTGACCGTCACATTATAACGCCCATTTTGGCTGAAAAGGCAAGCAACTTCGGTGACGAGGTAAGATTTTGTAAAGACTGTATTATCCCAACGAAGGCGCTCACCAAAATATCTGTGACAGTAAGTTATTTATAAGACTGGATTTAGGCTTTTCTTTGCACGTAAACAAAACAAGATGGTGTCGATATTCCAAAAATTGAACAGATAAAAAAAAAAACATTCATAGTTTTAAGCGCACCACCGTCAAATAATGAATGATAACCGTTTTACTATCAGATATTTAAACTTTAGACTCAAACGAAATTTCATCCGAAGATATAACTTTCATTTTGTTTTAAATGCATGTAAGTTTCGTCGCTGTAAGGATCCTGTAACTTACGCGTACACGCACCGTACTAGTAGTAGTAGTAGGTAAATAATATGGTATTAGAAAATATCGGGAAGGTTTACTGTCTGCCTGTTTTAAAATAACGTGATGTGTGTGTGTGTGTGATTTTTACAGCAAAGCCACATCGCCATCTTTTATTTTACGGCACTAGTAAACAAGAACCAGAATTTAAAGTAACGTTATTTTACGGCACTAGTAAACAAGAACCAAAATTTAAAGTAAATAGGTATAAATGAAAATAGATTTTATTAAAATTAATTTGGTTTTTGGCATATTTTTCGAGAAGTTTCAAAATTTATAGCTTATAAACTTGGTGTGGCCTATTGGTTAACGTGTCGGGCTGCAATAAGAATGTTCTAAGGTTCGAGTCGCGATACGTCACTGAATACATTCCACACTTACAGCTGTTAGGGCGTTTTATAACTGTGGCCATCATTTCCGCCTTTCGGTTAAGAGTAGTCGCATAGGCGGTGAGAACTGCAACTCGGTTGTCCTTTCTTTTTTATCAGCATTTCTTAATTAATAACAGCTCAACTATGCCTGAATTTTACAGGTCTATCATCTGTCCATATGTCGCAAAAGATATCGATCAGGTTGAACATACCAATTGATAAGGTGTAGGGTTAAGATGGTTGTGAAGTGGCATTAACATTTAAAGTAAATAGGTCATACGATGTTTAAAATTAAAGCTAGCATGATTTCAGAATCGGTATTTCCAAAATGACCACACCAACAACAGCACAGTTTTAAAGATTTTTACAACATCGGAGCAGACTTGGTTGTCATATTTTTATCTGTTATCAATATGAAGTAACGGACGTCTGGTGGGTCCCTTGTGAGTTGGAACAAAAGTTAAAAAATGTGCATAAGGATTTTTCTCAATTATGCCAGATCGTGGTATTTTTCCTATTTCATGGGAATTTTGAGGGATTTATTTTTTTAAATGAGCAAAAGGAAGTTAATTGATTAAACATTTCACTCGTTTGGAATTTTGAGAATTTGATATTTACGCCAAATGAATTGTATTGTAAAACATAACTTTCATTATTGAATTATAAGAAACATAACTGTTTGTAAATATGTAACCATTTTACGTGATATTCAACAGTTACTTGCATTGTATTCTTTCTATAATTTAAATATAGTTCGCATTGTTTGTACCAATAGAAAATTTTCACATATTTGATTAATTGTCATTCTTTTGAATTTATTATTTTTTTGCGGGGATATGAACTCCGAGTGCAAACTGTGGCAGTTCTGTCCTGAGAATCTGGCAACACTGAAAGGAAATCAGGCTTATTTGCACGTAAAGATCTAAGATCTCGATGGCCTTAAAAATTTGCTCGAGATCGGACTTTGAAAGTTATTCGTAAGTATTATTGATTGTTTAATTTTATTTCTTACCACTATTTAGCACTGGCAGATTCCCCTTGGAAGAAGGTTCCGGTCTTTGAAGTTATGGTTTGTATTTCGAATGTTTGGAGTGAAAAGATTACAGGCCTATATACGAAAGGTAGAATATGAAAATTAGTAACGTATGTTACAAAATGAATAATTTCCTGTATAGATTTTGTGGAAATTATAGAATAATAGTGATGATAATTTATGTATAAATCTACAGATTTTGTTTTTTCTTAAAGTGGTGGGAAACAAATTAAGTTAAAGAAAGATGAGGTCACTTTTACAAATGAGGTTACGAAACTACTAAATAAGCCTATATCCATCGAAAGATTTTGAAAGTCCATTACCCAGTAGGAAGAATCAATGATAAGTAAACATAAAGAGATCTGCTGTTGGAACTATTTAATTCGTGAAAGAATACGAATCCTGCACCTTATGGTCTATGGCCTATTTGAATTATACACATAAAATAACCACCAGCAGTGTTTGTTTATTTTGTATTCCTAAATATCTAAATACAGGATTTTTTTTTTTGCAGTGGAACTGAAGTAGGTGTAGTTTTAAAACGGATAATAAAAAAGATCTATATTCCCTTTATAAATGAAAGGTGCAATATTCTGTAAATGAGTTACACCAGTGGTCCCCAACCTTTTTGTTGCCGCGGACCGGTAAGCGTTAGACAATTTTACCGTGGCCCGGGGGTAGATTGTTTACTTGCAACTTACACGTTAAAATGTTCCAGCACTTTATATTCGTTTTTCTGGTGTACCTGTATTTTATTTTGAAAGGAATGTTTAGAGTAAATTTTTAATGTAAACTTTTTAATGATATATTTATTATTATTTCGAGGCTTTTATTTTCATGTTATGTTGTTGGTACGATGCTACGGTGACCTGAAAAGTACGTTTGAAACAACAACTCTGCCGGTGTTCTGGAATAAAGTCTTGGCAGAATACCCCAAGATCGCCACCACAGCACTTAAAGCCTTGTTGCCATTTCCGACAACTTATCTGTGTGAAGCGGGGTTTTCTGCAGTAACAGCAACTAAAACAAAATATCGGAATAAACTAGACATAAGCAACACACTCCGGGTGTCATTATCTCCTATTGCTCCCAGATGGGACTGTCTGATTGCAAAGAAACAAGCTCAAAGTTCTCATTGATTTGGTGTTCTAGTAAGAAGATCAACTGCTTGAGATCGCAAATGACATTTGTCAACAAGCCAGGTGAATCTAGTTTATCCATGGAAGAAGGGTCTCGAATCCATTCCTTACCAGTTCGTGGGTCTTTTGTCGTTGGAAAATAACGCTCAAACTCTTTTGAAAGCAAGGACAGATGATCGTGCACCAACCGGAAGAATGAAGGTTCAGGATCAGTATCACCAAAAATACCTGCCAATGTTTGAAACATGTCCAAAACGCCTTTGTTCACGCCGTTGTCCCCACAACTCCAGTTTAGCTTTAAATGCGGCTATTTTATCTGCTAGCTTGAACATAGTTATCATTTTTCCCTGAAGGGACAGATTGAACTCATTGAGCAAGTTGAATATATCACACAAATATGCCAGTTTTGCGAGCCATACTTTGTCACAGAAATGTGCTGCTAGTGGTGACTTCTTTTCTGAAAAAAACCTTTTCAATGGCTCTCGTAATTCAAACACCCTGTTTAGCGATTTTCCTCTGGATAACCATCTTATTTCTGTGTGCAAGAGAAGGCATCTGTGCTCTGCATCCATCTCCTCACAAAGCTGCTCAAATAGGCGCGAGTTATGGGCGTGTGCTTTGATGTGGTTAATAGCTTTAACAACATCATTCAATACACTATTAAATTCCGGTGACATTTCCCTATGAAGGATACAATGCGTGGATTCACTATCAGGTGCAACTTCCTTAATCCGAGTAGTTAAACCAGCCAGTCGTCCAGTCATGGCAGCAGCTCCATCTGTGCGTATGCCGACACAAAAGGTCAATTTCAGTTGTCCTGACATATAACCATCCAGTGACTTGAACAGTTCTATTCCTGTGGTGCTAGTTGGTAAAGACAATACACATAACAAATCCTCATGTACATCCTCCTGATAAAGATATCGCACATAAACAAGTAGCATTGCTTTCTTATCAACATCTGTAGATTCGTCAACCTGGAGTGCGTACCACG